TCCACGATGGGCGCCTCGGGCCTCACGTACCGGTCGTACACAACGTCCCCGTCGTAGGACACGATGCTGCACCGGGCCAGGGCGCTGGTCCGGCCCCCGGGGCCCGTGCCCACCATCTCGCAGTCCATGGCCAGCAGCTTGGTGGGCGCCGGGGGGGCTCCGGCCACCGCCCCCCGAGCCCTGCCCTTGGTCTTTGCGCGGCCGTTCTGGGGCGCCGAGGGGGCGCCGGTGGATTCGGGGGTGCCCCCAGCAGCCCCCCGACCCTTCCCTTTGGTTTTAGAGGGAACGCCGGTCCCGGCAGAGCCGTTCTCTTTAGGGCACGACCGGGGGGGCTTCGCCGGGGTCCGCTGAGGCCCGCCCCGGTTCGGGGGCAGCTGCTTCTGCCGCAGGACCCCCCGGCGCTCCAGCTCCCGCCGCCGCCGCACGAAGCTCTGGTGCTTTCGGTTGCCCCGCTCCTTCTTGGGGCGGCGCTCGGGGGCGGTCAAGTCCACGTTGAGGATCAAATCCCCCATGGCGGGACCGGGGAAGCGGGACGGGGCTGCTGCGGCGGGGGGAGGCGGCTCAGCGGCGGGGGAGCCGCGGCACCGGGGAGCCCCCGATACCCAGGATCCCCAACAGCGGCACCGGGGACCCCCAACACCGGGGAACCCAACACCCGGGACCCCCCACACCCCAAGCACCGGCACCGGGGAGCCCTCGGCACCGGGAGACCCAACACCTGGATCGCCAAGCACCGGCACCGGGAGACCTCTAGACACCGGGACCCGGTACCCCCGGCACCAGGGACCCCTGACACCCCAAGCAGCGACACCTGGGACCCCCGGCACCGGAGACCCTTCGGCACCCGGGACTCCTCGACGACCCCCAGCACGGACCGCGGGATCCCCCGGCCCCAACCCCCCCCCTCCACTCACCTCCGCGGCCCGGAACCGGAAGTTCGCGGGCGGCACGCGGGCGGCCCGTTAACGGCAGTGACGTCATCGGGCCGCGCCGGGAGCTCGGCTCGCGCCGGGCGGCGCGCGCGGGCGGCGGCGGCGACTCCGTAACATCGCCCGCGTTCCACGTTACGTCACCGGTGACGTCGAAAGAGACGTCACAGATCACCGGGGTTGGCCCCGGGGAGGGTTGTCGCGGCCTTGCCCGGTGTCCCGGCCGGCCCGGGGAAGTCGCAGGTGCTCGAGGGCGAGCGGCGCACCCGGGTGACGTCATGGCGTCGAAGGGGGGGGGTGTCACAGCCGCGTGACGTCATGGGGCGGGAGGGGGTTATCGCGTCCTCGCGTGACGTCACGATCTGGTGACGTATTACGACCGCTGGACGTTGATGGGCACGGCCAGGGGGAGGTGGGGTGAGACCTGGGGTGACATCAGAGCCCCATGGGTGACATCTGAGTCCTGCAGTGATGTCAGAGTGCCAGGGGACACGTCCCAGGGTGACGTCAGAGCCCCAAGGGTGACATCAGAGCTCCAGGGCTGACACCCCCTCCCGCTGCCACCCACAGGTGCTGCCATGGCAGCTGCTCCCCATCTCATCCTGCAGCCGCCGGAGCACCCGGAGCAGCCACTGGAGAACCCAAGGCAGCAGCAGGAGCACCTGGAGCAGCTGCCAGACCCGGAGCAGCAGCGGGAGCAGCAGCGGGATCACTTGGAGCAGCCGCTGGAGCAGCAGCGGGATCACCCGGAGCAGCCACTGGAGCAGCAGGTGCACATGGAGCAGTCACCGGAGCAGCGTCGAGCCGCTGACATCATCCACCTCCTGAGCCTCTACCGGCCCCTGATCGACGCCTTCGTCATCGTGAGTGTCCCCACTTCCCCCTGGGCCCCCCCGGCCATGTCCCCCCAGCTGTGCCCCCCGCACTAACCCCCCTCCCGCAGGATTTCTTCACCGAGCGGCTGTGGGCGCAGCTGCCCCCGGCCTGGCAGCCTGCCCTGGACAGTGCCACCCCCCCAGCAGCTGGCCGGGCTCCTGGGGGGCCGTGGTGGCCCCGGGGCCGCCTGGCCCCTGTCCCTGCTGGCCTTCGCCGCCGCCGCCCAGGCCCTCGCCTTCCCCCGGGGCCGCCCGTGGGGGACCCCGCGCCAGAGCCCCCGCCTGCACCCGCTGCTGCGCCGCCACATCAAGCTCAAAAAGCAGCACGAGATCCAACGCCTTGGCAAGGTGGGTGCCCCCCCTGCCTCCCCTGTGAGCCTCCAGCTTCCCCCCCAGCCCCACAACACCCCCTGTCCCCACAGCTGCTGCGGCGGCTGAGCCAGAGCACCGGCTGCCAGCGCGTGGTGGATGTCGGAGCGGGGCAGGTGAGAGCAAGAGCACACGGGCGGGGACACAGGGGGGCTCTGGGGGGATCCCCCCACCCCCTCTGAACACATGTCCACCCTCTCAGGGCCACCTCTCCCGCTTCCTGTCCTTCGGCCTGGGCCTGTCGGTCACGGCGGTGGAGAGCGACGGCCGCCTGGCCGGGCTGGCCAAGTGCTTTGACTGGGAGCTGCTGCGCGAGCTGCAGAAAACGGGGGCCCCGGGGCACGGGGGGCACCCCCGGCGCCGCCCAAACCGCCCCCCGAGGCCCCTCACCCCCCGCGCCCCGCGCCACGTCCCCGGGCGCCTCGACCCCGCCGCTCCCTGGGGGGAATTCCTGCTGCCCCCCGACCCGCCGGGGCCCGGCCCCGCCGCCCAGAACCCCCTGGGGGGCCCGGGGGGCTCCGAGGACGGGGGGCCGGTGCTGGTGACGGGGCTCCACGCCTGCGGCGACCTGAGCCCGGCGCTGCTGCGCCACTTCGCCCGCAGCCCCGCCGTGGCCGCCGTGGCCTCCGTGGGCTGCTGCTACATGAAAGTGTCGACCGGCCCGCGGCCCCCCGGCTGCCCCCCACCGGGGTACCCCCTGAGCGCCGCGGTGGCGGCGCTGCCGGGCCACCAGCTGTCGTACCGGGCGCTGGAGGCCGCGTGCCACGCGCGGGAGGAGTACGAGGGGCGGCTGCGCAGCGGCGGCGCCCGCCTGTGCACCCACTGCTACCGCGCCGCCCTCGAGAGCCTCATCCAGGCCGCCGACCCCGCCAAGAGGCACCTGGGCCTGCAGGCGGGCAGGAACGCGCACGCCCTCGGCTTCCACCAGTGAGTCTGGGGAGGGGGGACCCCCCTTCTGGGACCCTCCCGGCCCCCAGTGAGTTTGGGGGAAAGGGACTCTCTTCTGGGACCTTTCTTGTGAATTTGGGGAGCGGGAGACCCCATTCTGCATCTCCTCCCGGGCCCCAGTGATTTTGGGGAGGGAGGACCCCTTTCTGTGACTCTCTTCAGTAGTTTGGGGAGGGGGGACACCCCTTTTTTGGGACCCTTCCTGGGGCCCTGTGAATCTGGGGAGGGGGGACCCTCTTTTTCATCCCCTCCTGGCCCCCAGTGATTTTGGGGACGGGGAGACCCCTTTCTGGGACCCTTCTCATAAGTTTGGGGAGGGGGGATCTTCCTGGGGCCCTGTGAGTCTGGGGAGGGGGGACCCTCTTTTTCATCCCCTCCTGGTGCCCACTGATTTTGGGGAGGGGGAGACCCCTTCCTGGGACCCTCTTCATGAGTTTGGGGAGGGGAGACCCCTTTCCGGGACCCTTCTCATAAGTTTGGGGAGGGGGGACCCCCTTCCGGGACCCTCATGGGCTCCTGTGAATTTGGGGAGAGAGATCCTCTCTTTCATCCCCTCCTGGCCCCCCGTGATTTTGGGGAAGGCAGATCCCCTTCTGGGACCCTCCTCCTGAGTCTGGGGAGGGAGAACCCTTCCTGGGACCCTGCCAGCCCCCATGTGACCATTCCCCCCCCAGATACGCCCGCCTGGGGCTGCGCCTGGCAGGGCTGGACCCGGCGGGGGTCCCGCTGGACTCGGGGGCCGTGGAGGCCATGCTGGAGCAGCAGCACAAGGTGCTGGCGTTCTGCACCCTGAAGCAGCTCCTGGCGCCCGTCGTGGAGACCCTGGTGCTGCTTGACCGCCTGCTGTACCTGCGGGAGCGAGGTGGGCACGGCCGGGGGGGGGCCTCCCCCTCCCCTCCTGCTCTTCAACCTTGTCTTCTCTTCCTCTCCTCTTCTCAGGCCTCCCCTCTCCTCCCTTTCCTCTCTCCCAACCCTCCTTTTCTTCCCAACCCTTCCTCTTCACTCTCCTGACTCTCTCTCCTGATCCCTCTCCTCTCCTCTCCTCTCCTCTCCTCTCCTCTCCTCTCCTCTCCTCTCC